ATCTGCTTTCGTCTTCACACGGAAGACCCACTTCCCGGTGAGTATTGTCTTGTTTCGTGCCACGCCGATAGGAACAACTTTCCAGGTGTTGCGCTCCTGTAGTGCTTTCAGTTCCTTGTCCATGGCTTCACGCCATTTTTCCTTATGCTCCCCCCCCAGAGCCTGCTGAACTGTGGCAGGCTCCTTAGGAGTATTCGTGCCGTGGACCGCGGTGACGAGACCAAGTATCTGAAGGCCACTCTGTGTGTAGCGGGGGAGTGTTGTGTCCGCGGGATAAGCTGCTTCGTCACCTGTTTCTGGGTCAAGTATGAAATTGGGCCCTACGTGTTCTGCTTCATTGGTGTTGACTTCTGCAGGTGTAACGTAACCAGTGTCGGCGAGGTCGAGATATGTTTCGGCGTTGACGCTTTCGCGAGGATTTTCGTCATCCATCGGGATGGGCACGGAGTAGTAAGGGAGTGGTCCTGCTTCATCCGAGGCGTTATCCACGTTCTGCTCGTCCCAGTCAGCTTCGTCTGCTGCCGAGGCGAAGTGTCGATCTCCATGGAAGCCACCTGTGGGATCCCGATTTTCTTCCAGGTTGGCAAGGTATGTCGGAAGGGTGAGTCGTTCGTAGAAAATGACGTCACGTGCTGATACTGTTTCTTTGGAGTGGACGTCGAAAATATTCCACGCGTTGTAATTTCTTTCGATGCCCAGGTGTAGTCCCCACTGTGCGCGTTGAGAAAATCGGCCGGCTCGTGCAGATGGGGGTCGGTACTGTACCATGCAGCCGAAAACTCTTAACATTTTTGTGCTGCCCTGTTTTCCTGTCCACAGCAGGTGCGGTGATGTGTTGTTCGGTAGTGACGACGACGAAAGCAAGTTGTGCAGCATGACAGCGTGGTCCATCGCTTCAGGCCACTGGTGATTGGGCAGTCGCATGCCACGCAGTAATTTGCGCATGGTGTTCTGGAGAGTTCGATTCATCCGTTCCGCCACGCCTTGCTGTTGATGGGCGTAAGGAAGCGAGATGAGCCTCTTGATTCCCTTTTCTGCCAAGAACTGCTTGAACCTCTGTGAGGTGTATTCTCCTCCTCCGTCTGACTGAAAGCTTTTCAGTTTCTCGCCTGATTCTCGTTCGGCTACTGGGAGCCAAGCGATGAAGGCTTCGAAGGCCATATCCTTGCTTGGAAGATTGAGGTGCCAAACGTAACGTGTAACTGCATCGATGAACGTGATGGTATAACTGTATGCTCCTTGTCCGGGTTCGCGATTGTACAGGATGTCGCTGTACACCTTTTCAAGTGGTGCGTAAGCTGGTGCGCTGGGGTTGTGGTGAGAAGTGAAGGGTCGATGCGGTAAGTCAGCTTCGGGGCAGGTAAAACACGTTCCTCGTGCTCGTCGAAGTTCACTTCCGTCGGTTAGAAGCAGTGAATCTTTGTCGAGAACGCCTGCTCTTATTGTGTTGTTTAACACTGTATTGCTTGGATGTCCCATTCGTGCGTGCCAGATGTCTTCGCTAGCGCGATGTCCGGGTGAACGACGATACAGGTCGGAGTTGGAGTAAAAGGCGGCGGTGAAGTTGGCGCTTCTGTGAACTTCGCGAGGAATGGGAGTTAGCTGCTGCGCAGGAGTCGGTGAAGTATTGTCGGTGTGTGGCGATGTCGTTGAAGAACTTGCGACTGGTGTTGTAAGTGTTGTTGGTGTTGCCAATGTTTCTGCTGCTGCCGCTGTTGTTTCTGCTGCTGCCGCTGTTGTTTCTGCTGCTGCCGATGTTGTTTCTGCTGCTACCGAGTGTTGAATCGTTGCTAGTGCTCTTGTTCGTTCTGCTTCAGGGATGGTGTGCGAGTACCAGAAGCCTTCTGGACTGAAGTCGGGGTCAAGATCCGGTGGATGTGTCCAAGAGGTGAAGGTGACAATCCCGTCGCTGTCGGCAGTGCCGAGATCTGGAACAAAGTCGAGGACGAAGACATTGTTTTTCAGGACCGCTTTGCCAATGTAGAGTCCTCCTCGACCGTGGAAGAGCTTGAACTCCTGTGTGGTGCTGTCTGCCTCGAGGTGTATGCCCTTCGCCATCAGCTGACTGACGCTCAGTAGGTTGTAACCGAGTCCTTCTACTATCAAAACCTGTGACATCTGCAGTATGACGTTTGTTTCTCGTGACTGAAGTTGCACTACGCCTTGTCGTCGTGTGCGCAGGTTCTGATTGTTGGCGACGGTGATGACGACTTCACGTTGAAGTTGGTGTTCACGTTGAACAAAGCGTCCTGAGGAGCACATATGCTGTCCACAGCAACTGTCCAAGAACCACGTATCCTTCCCGGATGGCTCGCTTTGAGCGATGGCTGCGTGCGTTGGATTTGGTTGAAGTGACTCGCGGCGAGGCGTGCTGTTGTCGAGTCGTTCTTCCGGTGAGTAATGTGGTGGAGACTCGGTGATGCAGGAATCGGTCAGCCGTGTCATACAACTAACGATGTCTCTTGTTTCTTGCGCAGGTTGTTTTGTCGATGTTGTTGAGGCTTGTACTTGAGATGTCGGATTTGCTTGCGTTGAGGCAACTTGACTGCTTGAAGGCCGAAGCTGCCGCTGCGTAGGTACTGACTGTTGTCGGTTGGGGCAGTGTGAGCGAGGATGCCCTGACATCTTGCAAAGGTGACAGAACGGAGGTACTGATTTCGGTTGATGCCGATTGTTGTTGTTGTAGTGTCGTTGAGTGTGGAATGCAAATTCGGGCACTGATGCCTTCTTCTTGTGTCGTTCCTCTTGCAGGTCCATATCTTGCTGCTCAGCGTGGATTTCGGCGCAGAGTGATGCTTCTGATATCTTTCCATGCGCTCGGAGTATGGCGCGGGTGGAGCGCCACTGAGGATCGAGGCCGCCGATGATGACTGTGACGAAGGCGTCTTCTGAAATCGACCCTCCGCATTGAAGGAGTTTGTCGCGCAATTCGCGACAACGGCTGATATACGCCATCCCTTTTTCGCCTGGTTTCATTTCGACTGTCGTCAGTTGCGCCATTAACCGACTTTGATTTACGCTGTCTGTTGCTTGATACAGGTTCTTCAAGTGGTTGTACGCGAGCTCTGCAGAGTTGCCGTAACCCCGGTAAGACCGTATGTTCTGTTGCTGACTTGGAGTGATGTTTCTCAGCAGTATTGTGTACGCCATCATTGACTGATAAGTGTACTGCTGCTTGTCGTACTGTGTGCCGTGTGTTGGATATGGCTGGGACCCGTCGAAGAAGCCAAGAATCTGCGCGCCTTCCATCATTAACTCGAACTCGAATGACCAGGTAAAGAAATCCTTTCCGTCGAAAGGCCTTGTCGTCTGTAGTTTTAAGACGTGTGCGAACTGCGACTGAACTTGAAGTGCATCCAATGTCTTTTCTTGTTCGGATGCAGGCTGCGGGTGTGGCATAAAGCTGACGGAGCCACGCTGGGGCTCATACGGGGCAAAGGTAGGCCGTTGCTGTTGGTTTCCACGTGCGTAGGATGAACCGTCGAGGCTCATCGGTGTTGCGTTGTTGTTGCTGTTGTTTGACTGTGCAGGTGCCCCTTGCTGGTGCTGTTCGTAGAAGGACATGAAGGAGAAGAACTTCTCCATCATGTCTGGATCGAAGGCCGCAGCTTGATTTGCGGGAGTTTCCGAAGACGATGCCCTTGGTCTTGTTGCCGTACCCTCCTCTGTCTGTAGGCCAGAGGCAGGAGGTGGAGTAGGAGTAGTACCGGGAGAGCCGTTAGAGGAGCTTCTCTCCTTTTGCGTTGCCATGTCTTGTGATGTCGTAGATATCTTGTTCGTAGTTGAATTTGTCCTGACTGCTCTCATACCATGTTGGGCTGAGAAAGCCCTTAGGATCTTTTACAGGACAGAACTCAAGGGTAGGATGATGTAGTAGCGGAAGCGTTTAATGAAAAGATTGTGAACCACCTTGCGCTGGTATGTGAGGGCAAAGTAAGTTGATAATAACAAAAGAGATACAAGCTTTTATAAGAATACAAAGGAATATGAAGAGATACAGTTAATAACTGTTTTACTGTTGCTGTTGCGGTTCGATACAGTGTCGACTCGGGCAACTGCTCAGTATCGAGACAGTTGTTTGTCCTTGCTGTCGCGCTGCATTTGTCAGGTCAAAGGTCGCTGACCTTTGACTTTCGCGTAACCTCCAGCAGTTGTTCAACCTCCGAGGGTTGACTCACCGATGTTTCGATACGATCTGCTTCGCTTCTGTCTTGGTGTTTCGACACGACAGAGGCGCTTAAATCAGTTGTTTCCAACATGCTTGACATTATGTCCTGAGGAATACGGCAATATTCATTCACTTTCTGCAGCACTACCTACGGGTTCGGAAACTTACAGTAGTACTCCCCAGGCCCTCAGATTCACTTTTAGGGACCCTGATGCATCAGGGTCCCTGTGAAAAAAAAGGCTGATTGTCAGTGTTCCTAATAAAAAAAACCTGAAATTTCAGGGTTCCTAAAAAAAAAAAAGCCTGATTCCTTATCATACACGTCTCTAGTTCCAAGTAAGTGCAGGAACTACTAATTAAGACGGCACATAGAATCGATCCGGAGCCTTCCCTTTCGGTAGTGATTACGGTAACGAATGTTGGAGTCCCGATGATCTCGGGTGTTTTACAGGAAGGACGCAGAATCTGCATTCAGTGTAAACGTTCGAAAAAAGGCTGAAAAATCAGTCCCCTTCCATAAAAAAAAGGCTGAAATTTCAGGGTTACAAAATAAAAAAGGCTGAAAGTTCAGGGTTGGTACAGAAAAAAAGGCTGAAAATCAGTCAAATCAGGGTAAAATGCCTGATATCTGAGGGCCTACTCCCTCCCTCCCTACTCGTAGGATGATGCGAGAATTGAGTCAGTCAATAAACTACCACAGATTAAATCTAGCAACATATACAGCTCATCATCATGCCAGATATTCGAACCCATTATCACTGGTGAATCCACTATTCTCCGTTGCAAAATCCCGTCATAGCTCGTATGAATGCAGCAGATTTTGAGTGTATTTCTACAACTCTCTGTTCATGGCATTAACCTGTTCCTCCAGCTCCTTTGCCGTCTTGTCCAGAGTAGCAATGCGTGCAGCTGTCCATGCCAAAGGAGAAAGAACGTGCACGCATGAGAGGGAGGGGGAGGGTTACAGGATCGGCTGTGAGATGACTACATAAGCAACTTGGCAGGTAGCATGGGTGTGATGTGAGAGGCGGTTTTTGAGGCGCCTCAAAAATAGGGACGGAGGAGGGTTACAGGACGGGCTGTGAGATGACAACCCAAGCAACTTGGCAGGTAGCATGGGTGTGAGTGAGGGAGATGGTGCGAGGGAGATGGCTTTTGAATTGACTCAATGGTAGCAATGCGTGCAGCTGTCCACGCCAAAGGTGAAAGAACATGCTCACATGATAGGGATGGGGGAGGGTTACAGGACAGGCTGTGAGAGTGAGATGGCAATCCAAGCAACTTGGCAGGTAGCATGGGTGTGAGTGAGGGAGATGGTGCGAGGGAGATGGTGTAAGAGAGATGGTGTGATGGTGATGATGGTGTGAGGGAGATGGTGTGAGGGAGATGGTGTGACGGAGATGGTGTGACGGAGATGGTGTGAGGGAGATAGCAAGGCAACCTGCACATAGATAGCAAGGCCGTGAGGGAGACAATTAGCGTTACTGTGCGGAGTGAGGGCAAACATGCACTTGTGATTGTGCAGCAAGAGTGAGGTCCGAACTGAGTGCAGCATCTCGCTACAAAGAAAGAGGAAGCATAGGGGAGAGGGGGGGCGCCTTTTGAGACGTCTCAGAAATTGTGCAGCAAGAGTGAGGTCCAAACTGAGGGCAGCCTTCTCATTATGGAGACGAGGGGAAGCTTTGGGGAGAGGGGGCTTTGAGGAGAAAAGTGAAATGTTGTGGGGGAGGAGTAGGAGCAGGAGCAGGTTCTAGAATCGTACTGAGTTCAGCCTTGTCGTTATGCGGGTGAGGGGAGTGTGGGGGAGATAGGGAGTGGGTCTGTGGGGGCCTGTGTGTCACGTACTGATCTCACTCTTCTCGTTTTGCCATGCCAGGTTGTCCTGGTCCACCTTCTCCTTGCACTCAAACATCGTGTCACGCCGCTTGTCTCGTGCGACAGTGAAACATGGCGACTACTCACTCGGCTCAAGCAAAGAAAGAGAGGGACACTGCTTGTCTTGTGGGTGACGTACTGATTTCAGACTTCTCGTTGTGCCATGCCAGGTTGTCCTGGTCGACCTTCTCCTTGCACTCACTCAAACAACGTGTCCCGCCCCTTGCCTTGTGTGACACTGAAACAAGGTGACGTTTGAGTCTACTCAAGAGAGGAAGAGAAGGCCGTACTGATTTCAGACTTCTCGTTGTGCCATGCCAGGTTGTCCTGGTCAACCTTCTCCTTGCAATCAAACATTGTGTCCCTCTCCTTGTGAGCCGCCTCCTCCGTCTCATTCGCCTTGCGCTCCATCGCCTCCTTCTGCTCCGCCGCAACCTTCTCCACTGCTCTGCACTCCTCCAGATCCCGTTTCTCGCGCCAGCACTCGCCTTTGCCGGCGGCGGCGGCGACGGTGGTGGTGTGGAGAGGTGTGGTTAGGGCGATGGCGAGGAGGAGAAGGAGGAGGAGGCAGGTGGGAGGGAGTGAGGCCCTCATGGTCGCGATAGTTCTAATCGTTCGTTCCAACAACCTGACACGGGAAGCGGAAGGAAGGAAGGAAGGAAGGAAACAAGGAAGGAAGGAAGGAAGGAAGGAAGGAAGGAAGGAAGGAAGGAAGGAAGGAAGGAAGGAAGGAAGGAAGGAAGGGAGGGAGCATGCGGGTGTGGTGGGGGGGAGTGAGGCCCTCATTGTCGCGATCGTTCTGATTGTTCGTTCCAACAACCTGACGACACGGGAAGCGGAAGGAAGGAAGGGAGAGGGAGTGAAGGGGGACCATGTTGTTTGTGACGCTCGTTTTGAACGAAACGATCTGACGTGGAAACGCGGAAGGAGCGGAAGAAACGGAGAGTGCTGGTGTGGTGGGGGGAGAGGGCGGGATGAAACGGGGGGATTGGAAGCGAAGAACTCTGGAGAAGGCGGGAGAGAGGGGAGAGCGGGAGCGGGAGCGGGGATGGTGGGGAAGAGCAATGGAGAAGGCGGGCGGAAATCGACGTGGAATGTGGTGGTGCGAAGTCGCGAAAGCGGGGAGAGCTGGGGAGAGCGGGGAGAGCGGGGAGAGCGGGAAGAGCGGGGAGGGCGGAGAGGGCGGGGAGGGCGGCACAAGGTTTCCATATAATATCATCCGTTATGTCTGCCCTTTTTCAGTCCACCGGGAAGCTGCGTGGTAACCTTTAAATAGACGGAAGGAGCGGCAAACCGCATCATGCAGCGGCGAGCATTGGATTGTCGCAGCAAATGAAAAGCGGGACGAACATGGGACGCGAGAAGACTTTTGAGACGCCTCAAATGACGAAGCGAAGAGTCACGGACGTCAGAAGGCGGGAGTGAAGCAATGGACAGCAGTTGCCGCCGTCCGTGCGGGAGTGGTGGGCGAGCGCAGCAAGAGGAGGCGGGTAGCACTTCCAACAAATGGTGGCAGTATGGAGTTTTTCTAGGCGAATCAGCCAAATTGAAGTGATGGAGAGGAATTGACGGAAACGACGGCGAAGGCGGCAAGAGGAGGAAAGTACCTTCAACGAAGGCTGACCGTGAGCAATGCAAAGCCGCAAAAGGCTCGATGCGTCCCGCAAGTATTCACGACGGTAAACGGCACGGCGAGGGGAGTAGCGAAGACTGGCTGGAATGAGAAGAAGCAATGTGCACTAGCTCTGCTGTCACAAGCTTCGGTAGTGCCACGAATCTATATGATCCGCCAGTACGTATATCGATGCGGCAAGGTAATCTCGGTCTTGACTGGGCTGGTTGGCGAGAGGTGTGCGAGAGAGGTAAATTTGGTTTGGGATGGTTGTGTATGGAGAACAGAGCGGTACTCAGAAGTCCGCGTTACAGGTTGCGTGTACATGGACAGAGCGTTACTGGTTGTGGAAGGTTCTCGACATTCACTGTGCAAAACCGCTGGGACCACGAACTGGACCGAACTTGCTTCTAACTTGAAGTAACAAGCTGGCGAGAATGGTAACACCATTCTAGAAATGTGACGACATTCGCGGAGTTACACATCATCCTCCCCTGCGAAGTTTTGCGACAAATGCCAATTTCTTCAACACATGTATCCTCCCCTGCCCCCTAAACCCCTCCTAATCACAATCTCGAATGCCCCAGGGCGATGTTCGGCAGCCATGGGGAGAGGGTTTGAGGGAGGATCAAAATGCCGGGCCACCAGGTTCGACCTTGGAGAACCAGGCAAAACAGTGCGGTCAGGACAAGAAAAAATGTGAAAAACAGTCCGAACGTGGGCCTTCAATGCGACGCGAACCCCATGCTAGAGTGTCGCCCGCGCCGCATCCCCCCCACAACCCCCCCCTTGGCGGAAAGCCTCCGCACTAGAGGGGGGGAATGAAACTTGGATTCCCTGGCCTGCCGCTCAAAACCGAAGAATCCAGCCAGATCCCGCGGTCAATCCCCTCCTATCGAACATGGCATTACCCTGAAAAGAAAGTAAAAAACAAAAAGGTATCCCACCCAACTTCCCTCTCAACATTCGCCACTCGACATCTATCTCTCAACTTCGCTCCCTCTACCGCACTTATCTCCTTCCATCCCTATTTATCAGCCAGGCTATAGTCGCCATTTGCCAACCCATCACGGCGTCACACCGCCAAAGGTGAGATCGATCACGTGGCACGAACACTGGCGCGCCACATGCGTCGTTTACCCACTTATAGGAGCTCATTAGAGTCTAGATTTGCCACATTCAATGCTTCAGTCTTAGCCTCCCGAGACTAACAGATTTACCCACGATCTCTCCGTCAATAGCGCTAGGGTTTGTCATATAATATTAGATTCCTCGCCATAAGGAGATAATGTCATAATTCGATCGCGCCGCGTAGTAACCTCCTTTCCGCCATGCCTATCTCGGTTTCAACCTAGCTCATCGCCTCCCATCCGCACTCATCGCCTCTCATCCGCCCTCATCCCCTCCCATCCGCCCTCATGCGCACTCATCCCCTCCCATGCGCCCTCATCCCTTCCCATGCGCACTCATCCCCTCCCATGCGCACTCATCCCCTCCCATCCGCCCTCATCCCCTCCCATCCGCCCTCATGCGCACTCATCCCCTCCCATGCGCACTCATCTCCTCCCATCCGCACTCATCACCTCTCATCCGCCCTCATCCCCTCCCATCCGCCCTCATGCGCACTCATCCCCTCTCATGCGCACTCATCTCCTCCCATCCGCACTCATCTCCTCCCATCCACACTCATCACCTCTCATCCGCACTCATCCCCTCCCATGCGCCCTCATCCCCTCCCATGCGCACTCATCCCCTCCCATGCGCACTCATCCCCTCCCATCCGCCCTCATCCCCTCCCATCCGCCCTCATCCGCACTCATCCCCTCCCATCTGCCCTCATCCCCTCCCATGCGCACTCATCCGCACTAATCTCCTCCCATCCCCCCTTCATCTCCTCATATCCGTCCTCATCTCCTCCCATCCGCCGTCATCCCCTCCCATGCGCACTCATCCCCTCCCATGCGCACTCATCCCCTCCCATCCGCCCTCATCTCTTCGCATCCCCCCTTCATCTCCTCACATCCGTCCTCATCCCCTCCCATCCGCCCTCATGCGCACTCATCCCCTCCCATGCGCACTCATCCCCTCCCATCCGCCCTCATCCCCTCCCATCCGCCCTCATGCGCACTCATCCCCTCCTATGCGCACTCATCCCCTCCCATCCCCCCTTCATCTCCTCGAAACCCCGCCCCCTCCCCCGTTCCCTTTCCTATACCAGCTTATAGGAGTGTCGGGGATGGAGCCCGTATCGTCGCAAACAGGCCAGAGTCAAGAGTCTTTGCGTCCAAGCCTGGTGCACCGACTGGAACATCTGTCCATGCAATCATGCAGTGAGACAAGTCCACAAATGCCAGCCTCTAATCCCGATGCATCCGAGATTAGTGGTTCTGGGCCCCGTGCGAATTGCAGTTCAATCCCCGTACTCTCAACCGCTGGTCCTTCTACCACAAACGAACATGCTCAGTCTCGGCGTCCTAGTCAGACGTCGACGCCGCCAGTGCCTAGGTTTCATGACAGGCGCACGGGAGAGTCTGCTGGTGAATCTGAAGGTGATGACACCACGTTTACCACAGACTCCACTACCGGTGTCCGCACAAAGTGGGACAATGATCAGACAACTGATCTGTTGCTAATCATCCATGATGCTATGAAAGAGGCCGGGCAAAATCTGTCTGACCCAATCGAATGTTGGGAGGATGTGTTTAAAGTGTGGCAGTCTCGCCATGCGGAATTGGGGTACTCCGTGACTACTCTCCAAAACAGATTGAAGATCGTCAGGGGGTGGGTCAGGGACATAAAGACCTTGCAGCATGGTTTTGGGACGGGTGTGAATTGGGACCCCGAACGTAACACCCTCAGGCCCGACCCAAAGGTAAGTACCTCCCATATGATATGCCCACATTATACTTCCCGCCCTGTCTGCATGTGCACAGCTGTGAGAATGGGAAGCCTGCCCTCCCAACTGCATGGTCCCCCACATCACCATGTAGTTGGGAGCCTATGCTAGCAGCCTTGAGAATGGGCAGCCAGCTCATTCTCTGCGTTGTCTCTCAATCTGACGGCATTTTGTTCATGTTTTCGTGAATATACAGTTGCCCCACAGCTTCCCTTCATGCTGAAGATCAAGAACCAATCCCGTTGGAAGCATCTGAAACGTTGGATGAAACATGTGAGAATAATGAGAGGAATGGTTGAACTAGGAAACAGGTGGGGTACAAGTAACAAACACAAAAGTGTTGTACCCTCTAAGGACTACCCCACTACAGCCTAAACAGACTATAGCATGTATAAGTTTGACACACCCCCATAGGCAAAGTGGGGGAGAACAAGGGGTCACAAGACCAGTCAAGAAGGTAAAGCAAGCTCAGGGTGGATCACAAAGTCACCACGCAGTCTGAGCACAAGCAAAGGGCCACAAGGCCAGTTCACATGCACAGTTATATAAAGGAAAGCAAACAATACAGTGAACACAACCTAGCAAGAGTAAGCATGCAGGTATAAGTATATAGAGTACAGTACAAGCAGAGTCAAGAAGTCAGCAAGTGAGGCACAGTAGGTACAAGGCCAAGAACAGTACAGAAACGCTGATGATCACAAGGCTGAAGTGCCTTGGTGAAAACATCAGCAATGTTGGCCTGAGAGGCCACGTAAGCAAGACGAAGCTGGCCACGCTGCTGCAACTCTCGAGCAAGGAAGTAGCGCAGAGCAATGTGCTTCGTTCTGTGCTCCAGTCTGTGCTCCTGACACAAGGCCAGCATGGCCTTGTTGTCGACGTACAGAACTGGAGGAGAACGAGGCGCCTCTCCCAAGTCGGTCAGCAGGTAGGTGAGCCAGCGTAGCTCCTGTGCAGCCATGGCCCCAGCGTAGATCTCAGCCTCACAACTGGAGCTGAGAACAGAAGAAGAACGGGTAGACCGCCAAGAGACAGAACCGGAGCCAAGACTGAAGGTGTAACCCTGTGACGATCGCTGCGTAGCCAAGTCGTCAACCCAGGAGGCGTCAGCGTGACCAGTGAGGACAACTCGAGCCCGCCCTCGAAGCACGAGCCCCATGCCCGATGTACTGCACAAGTATCGCAACACCCTCTTCGCAGCATCCCAGTGCACCTTTCGGTGCCTGCCGGGAGCCACGTAGCGAGCCAGAAGGCTGAGAGGGTATGCGAGGTTAGGTCGTGTGCAAGTCATCAGGTACATGAGGCAGCCCACAAGCTCTGGATACAGGCCACTCGGCTCTACGGACTCGTCCGAAGGTGGAGCTGAGAGCGAGTGACCGGTAGGCAGAGGAGTGGACTGTGGCGAGGAGTACGTGAAGCCGAAGCGCTGAAGGACCTGCTGCACCATGTGTGACTTAGTCAAGGTAATGGTGCGCTGTGCTCTGTCCCGGGTGATCCGCAAGCCAAGATAGCTTGTCAGCTCACCCAGGTCTGTGCACGTGTGTCTATTCTGCAGCTCGGACTTCACGTGGGCGGAGCCTCAGTGTCAGCAGTAGCAAAGACGAGGTCGTCTACGTACACGAGAACGTAGAACGGCGGTAGAGTAGTGTCAGTGCGTAAGAACAGAGAAGGGTCAGAAGTGGAAGGAGCAAAACCAAGAGCAGCAAGAGTCATCCTGAGTGTGTCGTGCCACTCACGAGGTGCTTGGCGGAGACCGTAGACTGGCCGCCGGAGGCTCCACTGGGTACCAGGAGGAAACGACCCAGTGAAGCCAGGTGGGCGGCGCAGCCAGATCTCCTCGTGCAGGCTGCCCTGTAGGAAGGCTGTGCTGAAGTCAAGCGAGTGGAACTCGTAGTCACGCTGAGCAGCTACGTGCAGCAGTACCCGAAGAGTGGTCATCTTTGGGGTAGGGGAGAAGGTATGGAAGAAGTCAACTCCCTGTCGCTGACTGAAGCCACGTGCAACATAACGCGCCTTGAAGACAGGTGGAGAACCCGGCGGCCGCTTCACCCTGAAGATCCACATGCCACTGACGATGTTCGCCCCAGGTGGGGGAACTTCGTCGACGTAGGTGCCTGTGGACTTCCAGGAAGCCATCTCGGCGTCCATGGCTGCCTGCCACTGAGAGGAGTAGGGACCCTCTATCGCCTCTGCGTAAGAGCGCGGGGTCGGGATGTCTGGTGCATCCGGGTCTCCCTCAGGGGCAAGCAGTATGGACAGGAGATGAGGTACAGAAGCAGCAAAGCACTCAAACTCCTCCTGTCTGTCCTCAAGAACGTCCGTGCCAAGAGCACACTCACCCCCGACGGACGGAGGATAGACAGACACAGACTCAGCAACAAGACTAGTGGCGTAGTCTAGGCGACAGGCTGCAGCAAAGTCAACAAGCTCAGTAACAAGAGCAGATGCAGCAGTGGACTCAAACAAAGGGTCAGTGACAGCAGTGGCCAGAAAACGCGTGACAGCTGGACGAGCAGCACGGAGGGAGTCAGACGCAGGGTCCGGACCGGCAGGAAGAGAGGACGCAGGAGGAGAGGGCAGAGGGACACGCTGTGGAGCAGTGGAAGGACGCAGAGTCATAGAGTGAGTGCCAGGGACAGGAGGAGGACGCGGACGCGAAACACGACCAGCGCGAACAGTACGGACAGGCGACGCAGAACGAGACTCAGGCGACACAGGACGAGACTCAGGCTCACGACGCTCCGTAAGACCTCTAGTCGGTCCAGAGTAAGGAGAAGGACCAGGCTGTGGAGAGGCCGGCTGTAACTGCGACTGGGACTGGACTGGCGGTGGACTCAGGAAAGGAGGAGGAGGACCAGGAGAAGGTGGGGAACCAAGAACCTGCTGAAGGAGTGGAACGTAGTACAGCCGCGGCCGCGCAGCGCCTCCAGAAACAGCAGAGACCGAACCGGTACCCTCAGCCCCAGGGTCTCCAGTCCCAGCAGCACCTCCAGCAGCTCCAGCACCAGCACCACCTCCAGCAGCTCCAGCACCAGCACCACCTCCAGCAGCTCCAGCACCAGCAGCACCTCCAGCAGCACCAGCACCAGCAGCACCTCCAGAAGCTCCCGCAGCACCTCCAGCACCAGCAGCACCTCCGGCAGCACCAGCACCAGCAGCACCTCCAGAAGCTCCAGCAGCACCTCCAGCACCAGCAGAACCTCCAGCAGCACCTCCAGCACCAGCAGCACCTCCAGCACCAGCAGCACCTCCAGCAGCACCAGCACCAGCAGCACCTCCAGAAGCCCCAGCAGTACCTCCAGTAGCTCCAGTAGCACCCTGACAGCGCCGAGAGTACCACTCACGAAGCTGCTGTGGAGAGAGAGGCTCCCGCCGCGGCGGGACACCTAGAGCACCTCCAGACGCAGTACGTGCAGGCTCAGCACCTCCAGACACAGTACCCTCAGGCTCCACACGCCCAGGCTCAGCACCCCCAGGCACAGCATGCCCAGACTCAGTACCCCCAGACTCAGCACCCCCAGTCCCCGCACCCGCAGGCTCAGCACCCCCAGACTCAGCACCTGAGTCGACAGCTACCTCGACCGGCTCGGCAGGGTCTACCTGGGACACACCTGAGGGGGCAGGCCCCTGGGGGAGGAGGGGGTCTACCGGGGGAGTACCTGGTGCCAGGAAGAGCGGCGGGGGGGGGGGGTGGAGAGGCAGTGCGGTAGGGAAAGAGATGGTAGTACGACACCGACTCGTCAAACGTGACGTCTTGAGAGGACAGAACACGACGTGAGGTGGGGTGGTAGAACTGCCACCCGGGTGCGTCAGGAGGGAAGCCAAGGAAGACACAGGGAACGGCACGGGAGGACAGCTTGTCCGCTGTAGTATCGCGTACAAAAGCTCGAGATCCCCAGACACGGAACGCGGACGCATCGCCAACCTTCCCCGTCCACCGCAGAGTAGGTGTGGTCTCCGGCAAGGAGACACGAGGCTGAAGGTTGATCTGATGCGCAGCGTACCGAACCGCGAACGGCCACAGAAAATGGGGAGCAGCCGCATGGATCATGGACGTACGAGCGACGTCCATGACCATGCCAATGCGGCGCTCAGCAATCCCATTTTGCTGCGGGGAGGCCGGAAGCGTGAACGTCTGGCGGATGCCCTCAGAACGTCAGAAGGCTCTCAGGAGGTCGGAGGAAAACTCCCCGCCTCTGTCTGAGTGCAGACGCAGAACAGGAAGGTCTGAGCCAAAACTCTCACTAAGCCGGCGACGAGCACCGCGGATCCAGTCGATCAACACCTCAGGGACCTCACCCTTGCTGCGCAAGGGGAAGACTGTGGTGAAACGCGAGTAGTCGTCAACGACCAGCAGGAAGTAACGCTCGTGACCCTGTCCACGGACGCGGGCTGGGCCCCACACGTCCATGTGAAGACTCTGCAGAGGGGCCTCAGTCGGAGGAAACGAGGAGGAGTGAGGAGCGGCGCGCTGCCGGCCCTCGACACAAGGAACACAGGTAGGGGCAGGCCCCGGAGGAAGGGGAGGGAGGGACCTGGGGAGTCCAGAGACAAGAGCACGGGAGGCCATACCTCGAAGACGAGGCAAGGACGGGTGACCAAGGCGGTGGTGCCAAAGGAGAGTCTCGTGCGCCAGAGGACGGCACGAGCAGGGGGCAGACGCAGGACTAGACCTGGACGCGGCAGCAAACACCTGACTGGACGCAGCTACCTGACCAGATGCAGGGACCGGAGGAGGCGCAGTAGTCAGTGTGTACAGACTCGACCCTGGCCGACGGGTGAACGTGGCCAGGTGGCGGCCCGTCCGAGAGCAAGTGCAGTGGGTCACACGCTGACCTCCAGGGGTGAACTGGTCAACCCACGCGTCCTGGAGGTCAGCTCCACTCACCAAGTTCGTAGAGAACGAGGGGAGGTGGAGTCCCGACAGCAAGCCCGACGGGGCCGCAGGACACGGTAGAACCGTGGAGGAGTGTGCAAGGACTGGGCCCCTAGAGGGGTCAGCAAGGGAGACTGCAACAGGCCGACTGAGCGGCGTGAGCGTGGTGCTGTCTCTAAAGAAAGAGCGTGAAGCACCAGAGTCAAGTGTGAAAGTGTGCAAGGACTCAGTAGGTGCAGTACCAGAGAGAGCAAACGCACCAGCACCTGGAGCAGCAGACGCACTAGCACCTAGAGCAGCCGCCGCAATGCCCAGGTCGGGCGGGACACTCAGGTAACAGTTACCCTCAGCACTATTAGCAAGAGCATACATGGCAGCAAGGATAGCATCAAAGTCTAGATCAAAGATAGGCACATTCTGCAGAAGCAGATCATGCCAACGAGGAAGCTCAACGGCGTCAGGAAACTGGGTACGCCAAGCGTCAGTCAAGCGACCGAAGCAGCGCTGCGTGGTGTGTGGAAGCCCACACACCTCCCCATGACGAGTGCCGGTGCGAAGAACGTAAGTGCAGGGACCTGCACCCCCAGACCTCCCACGCCCAGTGTACCACTTACGAAGCTGCTGAACCGACGGGGTCTCACGGGTGCGCTGCTGCTGCTGGCGCTGGCTGCCACCAAAGCCTCCACGCTGCGCGGCTGCACCTCGACCAGCACCACCTCCGTCGCTGCCGCTGCCTCCACCTCCTCCGCCACCGCCGCCACGACCTCCACCGCCGCCACTGACACCTCCACTCCCGGTACCACCCCCACCTCCACCGCCACCTCCTCCGCCGCCTCCACCCCCTCCACCGCTTCCCCCGCCGCCCCCTCCACCACCCTTGCTCCCCTTGCCCTTGCTGGTGCGGCGTCTCCCACTAGGAGCAGACGCAGCGCCGACCTCCTCAGTGCCAACGAGGTCGACAGCAGCAGCAGAAGCAACAGAGGGGAGAAGAGGGACAGGGGAACACCCCTCAAAGAAGGGGGTGTGACGGTCGTCGCGAGAAGCACCTACAGCTAAGATACTCTTCTCTGCTGCAGTAAGGCGCTCCTCTAGCAGGTCGACAGTCAGCTCGGTGGGGCAAAGGGAGAGAAAGTGGTCCCTGACTGAAGAGAGGGAGTCCGGGAAGCCGGTGACTTGGTAGTAAAGGGTGATGTACATGGGGGGGGGGTTCTTGGCACAGAACTCAGTGGGAAGGGCAGCGCGGTAGCGGGCGTCACTAGCGCAAAGGTGAGCAACTAGGTCAATGACAGTGGCAAAGGCAGCAAGGTCAGGGAAAAGGTACGGCAGCATGAGGCGGCTGAGGGCAGCAGTGGCATGGGAGGAGTAGCGTGCAACTACAGCGTCGTACAAAGACTGAGCAGTCTTGTACTGGCCAAAGTGCGCGCGCTCAGCAGGCGGCAGGTGACTACAAACAGCAAGACGAGCAACAGCGTCACGAGTGGTCCACTGCGAGCGAACAGTACTGTCAGCAGTGGCAGCAGGAGCAGTGGAAACACCTGACGTGTGATCGAAAAGGGATACCCCATCCCTAGAATCACACTGAAGAAAGAGCTGTAGTTCGTCAACCCACACGTCAAAATCAACTGCACGTCCCTCAGCATCAAAGGTGAGAACAGTCGGACTAGCCATAGCAGCAGTAGGAACAGTAGCAAGAGTAGTGGCAGTAGCAGCAGTAGCAGCAGTAGTAGCGGTAGCGCAAGTCAGTGCTGGGCGGCGCGGCTCGGCTGGGTGGCGCGGCTCGGCGGCGTCGCCTCCGCGGATCTTGTGTTCCACGTCTGCCAGGTAAGTCTGAAGCGCCTCGAACACCTCCGCCTGGTCACGGACGCCTTTGCGGTTGAAGGCGGCGGCCGCGATGGAAGGGTGAGGAGAGGGAAGAGGGGGGAGGAGATCGTTAGGCAAGCAGTAACTAAAGGAACCCTCATACTATGCACAAGTACTCCCCTATGCATGTCCTGAAGTCGTTCTCTCTGCATTACCATGCACCCCCTTATATTTCCAACAATGATGACGCTGCTGTAAATAAAAGGATGGAATAGTGAAATCTCAAGCTACTATTATTCCAACATCTAAAAGTGCAACAATGGTGTTGCAAAATCAATTCAATGGATGATTGGAGGGGGTTTTGTGTTTCAAATTACTAAAAGGTACTAAACTCACAGCTCATTGACAGCCCATACAATTTTTATGTTCACAGCTGAAACTTTTGCAGCTGTTTATAATACCATTTGTTTGAAGCGCGCTGGCTACTAGTCCAGCCATCTCTGTTTGAAGTTCCAGAATTTTCCTCGACCTCGACGTGGATTGGTCCAGATAAGGACGAAACAGTATTATCGCCAGGTGCAAGCAGCATCTGGAGATTTCCGCGGGCTTTAGTTGTGTAACGAATTTATTGTTATCGAGTATCAAGAAGCACTCTGCAAAGGGAAGTGTCTCCACTCGCCAGTTTCCTACGGGCTGGAAGCGACGGGTAGCAGGAGCACCTTCTGAAAATCGTCGCTAGCTACCGCTGCTTGTGGTTACCTGCTTCCCCCTCCCTTCTCGAGCTCCCCCGTTCCCATTTTCGCTCTCCTCGTTCTCGTCGTCCGTGTTCCGCGTCTTGCGAGCTTCGCCTCGTCTCGCGACGAAATGAGAGCCGCTCGCCTGCCCGCGCTTCTCGCGCTCCCGCTGCTGCTTGTGCTCGTCGCGAGCCTGTTGGTTACCCCGCTGCGCGCCGAAGACTGCGATGCAATCCTTGATAAGGTGAGGGCGCCGAGCGGAGATTGACGAGCAAGGATTGATCGATGCGATCGGCGAGCGGGGTTGAATGCCGCGCGCCGATTAACGAGCAGCACCGCGTGGGGCTGCGCGCCGATTGACGAGCAGCACCGCGTGCGGCCGCGCGCCGAAGACTGAGACGATATTCTCGATCGGGTGAGGGGCGAGAGTGACGAGGATCGCGTGGGTGGGGGAGGGCTGAGGGGGTTGAATGCTGCGCGCCGATGAGGACCAGCGCCGCGCGGGGGAATGCTGCGCGCCGATGACGCGCGGAAGACGGTTGTACTCATCCATACACATACCTTTCCCCATCCCTTCCCCCGCGCTTCCCTCGCTTCATTCAAGTCCCCTCCCCTCGCGTCACCTCTGACTGCGCGCCTTCTAAGACAATTCAAGAGATATTCCTGCCTCACCTTTCACTGCGCGCCAACGAGGCCCATTGAGAGATTCTCGAGAATTCTCAAGAATCTTCGGAGACTTCTCAAGAGTTATTCCTGCCTCTCCTGCTGGTTACCCCGCTGCGCGCCGAGGGCTGCGACGCAATCCTTTATAAGGTGACGGCGCGGCGAGAATGACGAGCGGCGAGGGGGGGGAAGGGGAGGAGGGGGGAGGGGAGGGGGGGTGAATGCTGCGCGCCGATTGACGAGCAGCACCGCGTGGGGCTGCGCGCCGATTGACGAGTGGGGGGAGGGAATGCCGCGCGCCGAGCACGGCCAGCGCTGCGGCCAGCTCCAGTAAGGCCTACTCGCGTGCGGCGTGGTGAGAGTGACGAGCGCTGCGACGAGGTTCGCGGGGGGGAGGGGGGGGGAGGGGGGGGGGATTGCTGCATGCCGATGACGCGCAGCGCCCCATGGGTGATACATCCTTTCCTTGCCCCTCTCTTTCCTCGCTGTTTTCTTTCCAAATCCCTCATCCTCACATCGCCTCTCGCTGCAAGCCCACAAGGATTGTGGGCCAGAGGAGGAGGATTGCGAAGGAAAATGTAATCTTCCACACATTCCTCACTTTATCCAAATGAATGTCCCTGGATTCGTACTCCGCCTTCTCCCACAAATTCCTCACTCCTTCCCCGCTCTCATCTCACCCACAGCGCGTTGATGACAGCCCGTTGACGGCTGCGCGCCGAGGACTGCAGCACCAGTTGCGGCCGGGCCATGAGTCTTCGTTCAACATGATCGTTTCTACGGCGTTCATGTCCATTTTAAGCCTATAATCTTACCTCTCACACGTCCATGTCGGCGTTCATCCACGTTCCCCTTTTCAGGAAGGACCACCTGGAATGATCAAACTGCTCCGCACTTGTCCCTTCAGCATGTGCAACGCTCTCGCTAACCCAACGTTTGCCGCCCTATCGTTCCCCCAACCCCTCCCCCCCTCTCTCCCCCCCCCCTCCCCTCCCCCTCCACCTCACAGGTGGAGGAGTGTGAGGAGAATGTGGGGAAGTTGAGGAAGTTGCGATTCGAGGCGGAGAACAAGTTTGACGCGACGCATGCGATGGGGGAGAAGATGAAGGAGAAGATGGCCGAGTGTGAGGAGACCACCGCCAAGAACGCTGCTGAGCGGCACAAAGAGAAGAGCGAACTGAGTAAGTTGGCGGATTCCATTTTTAAACAAAGTAGATGTGTGTCCCGAGTTGATTCAGATGAGAGAAAGGGGAGTTGGCAGAGTGGGTTGGAGATGATGGGGGGAGCTCGATTGGGTGCAGAGAGAAAGATGGTGTGAGGGATCTAGGGGTGATCTGGGTTGTACGTGGGGATAAGATTGGTTGCTGGGCTTCACGCAACTCTTGCGCTTCACTGTGCTCCATGCCTCTTCTGATTTACAGCCATGCACAGTCTTCTGATATGGCCCTGAAGTGCACAGCTCTTCTGGTCTTGTTCAACGCTTCTCAACGGCAGCAGTGCCTCACCTGGATGGGAGTGTTAAGTCGTGCTTCGGGCATGCCAATATACGTTCACTGTTTTCTTCCACTGTCCATGTCTCATCTCTTTGCCTCTCTTAACACTCTGCAGGTCACATTGGCTGAGAGGCTTGAACAAAAAGGATGAAGTCGTGTTATAGACACCTCAAGGCATGCTCACAATGCCTCCTCCTGTCTCCTCTGTGTGTCCCTCTCTCCCCTTTCAATGCAGTGGCACAGGTGCATGAACTGGAGAACAAGGTGAAGGAGCTGCAAGCGAAGCTGGGCATCAGTGAGGACAGCAGCACCACCGGCGACACCAGCAGTGACCACAACCTCAGTGACAAGTAGACCTCCAGTTCGTGACTCTACCAGCAGCACCACCGGCGACACCAGCAGTGACCGCAACCTCAGTGAACAATAGATGGTTCATGCATGAATTGCTGCAAATGCAGTGTGTGGTTCAAGCATATGGCACTTCGTGGTTGTGGATCGTGTTCGAATGTACTCAATAAGTAAAATGATACTCCATCACATGGAATTTTTCATGACGAAAGGTCATTGTACCTATAGTCGCTGTCACCAGCCATCATCACCGGAAACAGCATTGGCCCCGTGAGGCAAACCGTTATTGTACCTACCGGTAGAGTCGTCATTTCCGTATGTCACCTTATTTCCCCACCTCCATGGGACATGCCCCAACAGATACCGTATACCAAAAAGCGATGCAAAATGCAGGTGCCTGCGCCATGGGAGATGTGACGTGTCACACGAATCTTGCCGCGCGAGGCTGAGCGGCGGGAGGCTGAGCGGCGAGAGGCTTGGATACGTCCGCACGCACCTCTCAGCGCTTTGCCCTAAAAAACGTATCCAGCCGCTCTGGCTTCCGCCTCTGCCCTTTCCGCTTCCGCAATCGCTTCCGCCATTCGCTCATTCTGTCTCCGCACCTCCTGGTCCGCCTGTCTCTTCGCATGCATGGCTTCGTCGACGATTTTCTTCGCCTCGTCCATTTCGCCAACGGCCTCCGCCACTCGCTTGTTCGCCTCGTCCATTTCGAACTGCAGCTTGTCGATGCTCGGCATCTTAATGGCGGCGCTCGACGATTTCGACCGTTTCTTCTTCGCCGCGAGAGCGCCGCTCGTGCAGAGCGCGAGGACGAGGAGGAGGCAGAGAGTTGCTCGCTTCCAGTGAGCCATGGGGAAGAAAGCTGTCAGTGAAGGTCACGAAATAAGTTTAACTTCGTCAGAGGAATGCGGTTTACGGAGATGGGAGTTTAACTTCGTCAGTGGAATGCGCCTTAGAGTAAGAGCTGAGGGACGAACTGGGAATACTGCGAACTACCAGAGATGCAGAGAAACGAAGAATATCTCAAATGGTAATAACTGAGGTATCGAGTTCCCCGGTAATTTACGTAGTAGCTGGGAAGGATATTTGGTAATAGCTGAGTCACGATAGCTGTGGTGCAGCTGTCGCTTCTGCATTTCAGAATGACTTTCGGGGTTGAACGTTGTTAGAAGGTTTCCCGTGCGGTTCAGAATGCTGATTGGTGAGCCTGTGGAGAGTCACAGCATTCCACCGAGCCGCGCTGAGTACAGCTGCCCAGGTGATTTGCAAAGTGGATGCATTGGTGTGGGAGCGACAATCCCACAAAGCGTGTGGGTGTGGGATGGGGGAGCCAGGAGCAGCCACTGAGATGCAAACGCGTACAAGTTGTGGATAGTCGAAAATGACGTATCAAGGTACTGTATGAAAGTGAAAGTAGAAACAACCTCATTGACAAATATTGACTTGCTACCATTGGTGGTGCATTGTAACAAAGAGGTCAGTCTCTCACCAAATTTTCTTCACACGTTTCAGGAATTTTATTGGGCCATTATTAAACGGAAATAAATCTATGTCTAGCACTGCAACCTAGAAAAAGACAAGCATCATGTTACATTAGTTCCAAACATACATATTTCATGTTTTACTAGGTACTCTGGTTTGTTGCGATCAGAAGTTTGTTAGAGTGAGGATCTTGGATAGAATAGGTCTGCCTTGTAGAGAGTTGATAGCGGAAATCTTGTGGTAGGGACCTTGCGCATAGTGAATGTAAATGCCAAGCATTGATTGAAGGATAAAATTACACACAATAAATAGATCTAACTAGCCATGTACTCAAACGGGTACATTCCACTATTCTAACCGTTTAACAGGCAGTTCTACAGTGACTCTGACCATTGCTCTTCTTCTTGTTACCGAGTCGCTGTGTGTAACTGTATGGACAGTTACGCCTGTTGCCATTCCTCGTTGGTGAGTCATTCGGTCAAGATGGTCAACAGTCGCGACACTTGACCTTCCTATCTTTGTTACGGGCTGATCCGATACTGCTGCTGGTGCTGCTTCAATAGTGACGGGTGCGATACAGCTGCACCTACGGGAATGCTTAAGTCGATTCCCTTCTTACTCCAACACTCCCCTTCATTCCTGGACGTGCGCCACGTGGCTCTTTCGGACGACTCCGCACAGGTCCGCGCAGTACTGGAACTTTTGACGTGGCAGCTTCTTCGTCAGGAAGTCTGCTGCCATTTCGCCAGTTGGGCAATAGGTGAGTTGAACCTTCCCCTTGTCAATTTCGTCCTTGACGAAGAAGTAACGCAGGGCGATATGTTTCGTGCGGTTGACGAAGCCAAGTTTGTTCGCGATTTTGATCGCGCTCTGGTTGTTGCACAGTAACTTGAATGACCCGTTCATCGCCGTTTTCGTTTCCTGTAGGAGCTCCGTGAGGTATAGTCCTTTACGAACTGTTGCACTTGCTGAGATGAATTTAGCTTCTGCTGACGAGAGGGCGATGAGCTCCTACTTTTGCGAGTTCTACGAGATAGTTCCTGTAGGTTCGAGTTTGAAAATGAAGCCTGTGCGGGACCTTCTGTTGTCTGCGTCCCCTGCGTGGTCAGCATCTACGTAGCCAATAAGTTGCAGAGTAGCAGTTAGATTCGCCTTGTAGGTAAGGCCGACGTCATGCGTGGAGATGAAGTATTGTAGGGCGCGTCGTAGGTCCGCCATGTTCTCCCCTTCAGGTCGGCGCACGTACTGGGTGAGCTGGCTAGCGGCGTACGAGAGGTTTGGGCGGCATGTGACGACGGCGAAGAGTAGACACCTGAGCTGCTGCTGGTAGAGGCGATGGTCAGCCGGAGATAGCGGGGTGATGTCAGGCTCGTGATTAGGCGGAGGAATGCGGAATGGGGTGGTGACGCCGACGGGAGCGATGCCGAACTTCTTAGCAAGTGTTTTGGCGTATTTTGCGGTGGACAGGTGGATCTTGTCGGCTGTCTGGGTGACATTGAGGCCGAGGAATTGGGTAACATCGTGATCGACAGTCACCTCGAGCTTTTCTTTGATATCACGTTCGAAGCGATCAATCAGCTCCACGTCGTCCCCCGTGTAGAGCATGTCATCTACGTAGGCGACGCGCAAGATGAAGCTACCGCGGGACTCAAGGCGGTACATCCCCTGATCGTGGGGAAGTTGCTGGAAGCCGAGTTTGATTAGCACGGTGTGGAGGTACTCCTATCACAGGCGTGGTGCCTGCTTGATCGCGTAGAGGGACTTCTGGAGTAGGCAGATGGCGTCGCCAGCCTCTTCGAACGCGTGCGGCTGTTCGACGTAGATGATTGCATCGACGATCGCGTAGAGAAACGCGTTTCAAACGTCGATCTTGCGCACGGGACGCTGCTTCACCGCTGCAACGCAAAGGAGGATTTGCACGGAGGTGTGACGACCGCCAGGTGCGAACGTTTTGTCGTAGTCCACGAATTGGGTTTGTTCGAAGTCGCGAACGACCCATCGCGCCTTGTACTTATCAACGGCGCCATCCGCAAGCGTTTTGATCCTGAAGACCCATTTTTTAGGTGAGAAAATTTCTCCCCTTTGCACGTCGTCGTGGTACCAGCTTCCATGTGCCGCGCCTTTGGAGTGCAGCGACCTCTCCACTTCTCAGCATCGGGCCCGCTCAGGGCTTGGCGAACAATAGTGGGTTCAACCAGCTGGTGGTTACCGTGGATGGCGACTGCGAGGTCGAGGATGCGAAGTCCAGTGAGGTTGGATTCAGCTGCATTTGTAACCTCAACCACGTCGTCGTAAACGCCAGGAATGTCGCGAATGGTGTCGCGAGAAGAGTCGCGAGCGGGATCTTCCTCCATGGGTGAGTGCATTTCGGCAATTACGTAGTTATGTTGTGCCAGTACTGCTTCGTGTTCATTAGGGTCCGTTGGGAACAATGTTCCTGTCCCGAACTCCTCGGCAACGGGTACAAAGGGTGCCTCGTCTCCAATTGTCTCGTCTAGCTGTTCTCCTGCCACGTCAACTTCATCCTCGTCGCTGGCGTAGCCGTGTTGTCCCTGGAAGATGTTGTCTGGTGCGTTCAGTGCAGCGCGGTGCTGTCGGTACAGTGGCAGGGTCTGTCTTTCGTAGAAGATGCAGTCACGTGATCGCGTGACTTGGTGGGTGGCGATGTCCAGAATTGTCCAGGCGAGGTATTCGGATTCGATTCCGAGGTGGATGCCCCAACGGGCACGGCCTTCAAATATTCCGGTCCGGGTAGTGTGGGGGCGGTACTGTACCATGCATCCGAAAACCCACAGCATGCGTGTGTCGGGGTTTTTACCAGTCCACTCCTTGAACGGGGAGGTGTTGTTGGGCAGTGCTTTCGAAGAAAGCATGTTGTGCAGGCAAACTGCATGCCCCATCACGAAGGGCCAATACTTGGTTGGCACAGCTGACTGCTTCATGAGGGCTCGCATTTTTGTCGTGAGGCTCCTATTGGTTCGCTCTGCCAGTCCCTATTTCTCGTGAGCGTAGGGGAGGGAGATCATCCTCTGAATCCCATTTTCTCCACAGAGGGTTCTTGTGAAAATAACAAACGAGAATGAATGAACTAGCAAACAGTTGGGTACAAGTACTAACCCTAATTGGGTTGTACCCCTTATGGGCTACCCCACTACAGCCTACACAAATATATAAGCTATAATGTTATGACACATCCCCATAGGCAAAGTGGGGGAGAACAAGTGGTCACAAGACAAGTCAAGAAAAGCAAAGCAAGCTCAGGGTGGATCACAAAGTCACCACACAGTCCGAGCACAAGCAAAGGGCCACAAGGCCAGTTCACATGCAGAGTTATATAAAGAGAACAAACAATACAGTGATCATACCCTAGCAAGTGCAAGCATGCAGGTATGTATATATATAGATCACAGTACAAGCAGAGTCAAGCAGTAAGCAAGTGAGGCAGAGTAGGCACAAGGCCTAACACAGTAGAGAAGCGCTGATGATCGCCAGGCGGAAGTGCCTTGGTGAAGACATCAGCAGTG